AAGACCCGGTCCGTCCTTTGCTCTTACTCGCAGCTCTATTGAACTCTCCGTTTCATAATCAAGTGACCCGATAACTTTTACCTCTCCTGTCTTATGATTAAGTGAAAACAAAGATACATGTTCATCAGAGACATGATCGAAGTTATATGTAATATCACCATTTGGGCCAGTGTCTGCGTCGGTTGCGCTCACTGTAACCACTACGGTATCTAAAAGAGAGTTTTCAGGCACACTGGCTTCATAAACGGCCTGGCTGAACACTGGGGCGTTATCATTAGCATCCAGCACAGTGATGTGAATAATCGCAGTACCTGATCTCTGAGGAGATCCACCATCTACAGCTGTAAGCACTAATTTCAGCTCTTTCGCTTTTTCTCGGTCTAGTTCTTTTAACAAAACCAATTCGGAATGTTTCCTCCCACTAACATCTGTATTTACATTAATGGTGAAATGCTCATTATTTTGTAAATTGTACCGTTGCACAGCGTTTGTGCCTATGTCGGCATCGCGGGCTTCCGTAAGTAAAAATCTCGCTCCTTTGACTGCCGATTCTGTTATTTCAAATGAAATCAGATCCTCACTAAACTCTGGCGCGTTATCATTTATATCCTGCACATGAATACTGATGCGATGAAGCTCTAAAGGGTTTTCCAGCACAAGCTCCTCTTTTAAAACACAGCTGGCTTTTTTACCACAAAGACTTTCCCTGTCGATCCTGTCACTGACAGTCAATTCTCCGGTGCTCAGATTAATGTCACAATACCTTTTATCGTCCCTGTCTGTGTCAATGCGGGCTTTACGCGAGGAAAGAGTCGCCATCCCAAGACCCAGATCTTTGGCGATATTCCCTATCACAAATCCGCCTTTCTTTTCCTCTGCGATAGTGTAGCTCACGTCTGCATGGGCGAAATGCAAGGCCACGAAAAGGAAAACCACACAATAGCAATTCATAGCCAATCTTCCGTATACTGCACTTCCCATGATCGATTAAGGTTTAATCCTTTCCTGGAAAATTCCTTGGAAGTGATCAAAAATAGAAATTGTTATATCCAAAAAAACATCCTAGCGTTTGCCTTTTGTAACGTCCTTAACCTAGACACGCTACACCAAAATAAAGCTTCGCAATGGCAGAAAAGAACGGATGAAGAATAGAGACCTCCTGTCTTTGTTGGTGCACAGTGACACCAAGAGTTTCGTTAAATTATAGCACTGCAAACCCAAACAGGAGGCCAGCTTCGAGTTATAACGCCGTTATTAATGAATATAAATAATGACAATCTAGACTTCGGTGTTATTTTGTCATTCATACTGGGTTTTTTTTTTTCCTTTTCCACCTGTGGTGCGCTTTTCAATGAAATAATAAACCATATGTAAAACAAATCCATGTGTAATCCTGCAAAAGACAAGTAAGAGCTATAGTTGCTTGCAAATTCAAACAGATACTAATCCATCTGCAAGGGCTGTTGCTAAATCTATAGAAAGCAACTTGTGTGCACATGAGCCAAAATCAAAGACCTTAAGGAATAGTGGCAATATACTATATTCATTATCAACCATCTCTCAAGCACACTTCAAGGAAGACCTCTAGTATCCATTTCTACATCAGACATAAAAGAAGTTCCTGAGAAATTAATAAAAGGGAACCGCAAATATTGCCCTAATGTAAACTGCTTTACTTATTCAATCAATGCCTCACTTTTTTTTTTTTTTTAATCAATTTTGTGTATAGAAACATAAGACATTTGATTCAAAAATGCCAAAAACAAATATTATAAGTGATACCCTTGGATAATATACAGCAGAATCAAATTTAGTAGCT